TAAGAGTACTAATCCCCTGTGAGATAAATTGTGGGACTCTGGTTTCATAGCAATACTATATATACCACAAACTCTTTGGGAAGAATGACTTTTCATATTTATATATGTTGAAAATAGAGTAGGGTATGTCAAACAGCAAGGTAACAACACACCAGCAATAATCAACCCTTACTAGTTTCATATGCATCAGGAATGTTTACTGCCTGTTTCTGCTAAACAGGTAGGCCTGTCACGATAACACCTTTTTGTTGTGAGATATATTGCCCCAGAAATAATTGTGATAAGCGATATTATTGTCATTTTAAAGACCATTTTATGCCACTGAATATATAATCATAATGTAACAGTATAATAATGCAAGAAGGCCTACACACTTCCAAATGACAACAAACTTTTAATTTTTAAGAATATTTAGATCATGGAAATTAAGTATCAAAATATTAGATACTGGAATAAATAGTAAATAAAAATGTTCTTCGTAGTAGAAAAAAAGAAAAATGCACAAAGAACTGGAGATTTTTTCATCTACAGATTTGTCCCTGACCTTCTTTTTTTCTGTAAATGAAGGGTGCACACTATTGCTGAAAAACACAAACGCTACTTAGCAGTCAGATGTCCATATGCACAAAGGCACAGATCCCTAAACAAGGCCATATCTGCAGAGACTTTTTTTGTAGAAGCATTTTTTAAATTTGAACTAGCACCTCGTGACTACACCACGTTATGTACGAGAAGCTGCAAAAGACACAGGCGCAAGTGGAATGTGCAAAACATGGTGACTTTAATTTAAGTAAATATAATGGGCGATATATTGTGTCACCAAAAATGATTGAGGTCATTTACATATATTGCGCGATAAGGTGATATATTGATTATTGCGACAGGCCTATAAACAGGTTTTAAGTAAGTGATGCTAATGCAGTGACTATAGTGTTTTGGGGAATGAGGGATAACTACTGTGATGTCAATCCTGTGTGCTTCTAGTTACATAAACGCATCCTAGTGTAGTGTCTACGATCATTTAAAGTGCTTTCTGTCTAAGTGAGTGTATTAAATCTTTGTTTTATTTTTCTTGTTTTTCAGCTGACCGTTGCAAGGAAGTGCAGCAGATACGAGAGCAGCATCCTAATAAAATTCCGGTGAGAAACTCTTTCAGCTTATGGATGTGTCATAAATGAATTAAGAATGAGTGAAGAAGGACCTTATTGCTTTCAAGATATTACTTGCATATCTTCTTTTAAGATGCTAAGATTCTTCTAAGGAGGCCTTAAGATAACGGAAAATGATTGAAAAAAACAGCTTTAAAATAAGATAAAACAACTAAAAATAAATATATTTCTTATTTTTATTGAGGTTCTCATGGTCTTTGGAAACCAGGATATGTGAGAAAGCAGTGTTATTTTATGTCAGTGAGAAGCTATTATAGTTATTAATATTTTAAATCAGGTTTTTATTTTTGATTTTAGTTAGTAATTTTTTGTTTTTGCAATTTTGTTATGATTTTGTCATGTTTTATGTGGTTATATCGTTTTAAAATAAGAAATGTTGCCTTGGAAAATTATCTGAAATACGTCCTTCGGAATATTTTATTTTATTTCATTTAACAGTTATCTTATTTCAAGGATGTTTCTTTTAGTTAACCATATTAACCCTGGAGGAAGCCTAATTTTAAAAGTGTGATTTCTAAACCTGGGAAAGTCATGTAAATGAATAAAAACTTCCATGTACTTAATTCTTATCCAGTAAATCTGAAACAACTGAAAAAGTCACAGTTATTTGTATGATTAAATGTTGTGGATAATTAGGGGCCTTGGAGTAAAACTGTTTTAGAAGCACTGCTCTAGACCTATTTCAAGACAATGTCAAAAGACTATATCAATATCAGTTTGTATTGTTAATATTTTTTCTTCCAGGTGATCATTGAGAGGTATAAGGGAGAAAAGCAACTTCCTGTCTTGGACAAGACCAAGTTCCTCGTCCCTGACCATGTTAACATGAGTGAACTGGTAAAGATAATCAGGTAAACATAATATCCCTAGATCCAAGTTTTTTTACTTGTTGAGTTGTTGACCAGGTTGTTGAGTGTGCCTTCCTGCATGACTTTTATTTGATTTCACTGAGATATGCAGAGAGCTTTTTGTGTCCGTGTATGCTTATTTCAGTCTCATCAGGTTTGTTTACTCGTCTGGTGAGGGTTTGAAGCAGGGTGGGGGAGGAGAATGCAATGGTGTGCCAAATTTGAGTGTCTGCTGACCCTGTCATCCACAGGGGACTCCTGCGAATGCTTTTAACAGTTTGAACTTGGAAACATTTTTGCACAACATCCACATTCTCTGTGGTGTATTATTTTCATATATCCATTGTGGTGTATTCTTTTTAAAACAAGACTCTAGTGAGCTAACGTTTCCTCTTAAGGGAAGCTTATAGATCAGTGTTGCCTTCCAGGTATTTTAACACAGACTCAGTCAGATGATCAGACTAAGAATATTTTGTTGGACCCATGCTGCCTGTCATACTTAATAATCCTTGGCTGCGAGTCATGTCTGCTTTATTATTTATAGTTCAGACTCGAAATAATGATTAAGTAATTATTAGAATTTAAAGGCGAAGCGTGTCATTTCCGCTGCACTAGAATGACAATTTACATGGCTGTTAACAAAATAAATAAACGTTGACATGTTTTATAAATATTTTTTTCAGGTTCAACACAAGTCCAGTCAACATAATCTTGTGGCATATTTACCATTGTTTTCTTAAAAAAAAAAAAAAAAGAAAGAAATAAGGCAAAATCATGGATACGAGTGAGACATTTCAAATGAATGAGGCAAGATATAAAAGCAGATATATATTATTTTTTTTAAAACAATATGGTTGTTTAAGGGCTTTTAAGGCAGCAAAATTGCTAAACTAAGTATAACTTTACACAAAGTTTAGTAGGATTTTTTTTAAACAAATCATATTGTCTGCATCTTGTCTATATTATTGAAACAAAGTATTTTAGGATTTACTTCCATTGCAAGCATCTCACTGTAAACCAGATTTTTGCCCTTTTTTTTCAATCTTTTTTTCAAAGATTTTTAAACGTTTGTGTTATTTGAGCTTTAAAGCTGTTTAAATCATCATTTATACAGTTGTTTAGGATTTTCATGGTAATGAAACATAACTTTACACATATTTCTGTCACATTGATTTTTATTTCCACACAAAAATCGTATTAGGCATATTGTTTGTATCTTTTGGTTTTATTATTGAAAGTGAGTATTTTAATGTTTACTTTGATCTGTAAACCAGATTTTTGTTTTAAAGAAAATGAGGGAGAAGTGGACATTGATTTTTGTGGTAATCAATATTATGCCACAAAATGCCTGTTGATAGAGTTGAACTTGTACTGAACCCTGAATATCCCTTTAAATTTGACTTGAATGTGCATGTTTTTGTCATTATAATCATCAGTGATCAAAATGTCTCTGTTTTCCAGGCGTAGACTGCAGCTCAACCCCACCCAGGCGTTTTTTCTTCTTGTCAATCAGCACAGCATGGTCAGTGTGTCCACCCCCATTTCAGAGATCTACGAACAAGAGCGAGATGAAGATGGCTTCCTCTACATGGTTTACGCCTCCCAGGAGACCTTCGGTTGCTAAGCAGGCCACTCGACCTTTGAGGGAGACAGGGACAGCAGAGGGAGGGAGAGACGTCACCCAAATGTACCCATCTCTCTCTCCCCATCATCCCTGCTCTCCTCCCTTGCTGGTATGAAACAAAATAAAGCCGTTGATTCTTCTCCATGTGACACTACAGTGCAAACCACAGCACTACTGTAAACACTATTCAGACCCTTCGCCCCATTTTAAACTTACTTGTTTTTTTATAAGCTAGTATAACGTAGGTATTACACTGATAATGCGTCGTATTTGGCCCCAGTTGCTTTTCCCCCCTTGCATTTTATTCTTTTTAGGCTGTTATGTCTTGCTGTAACTAGATGAGAGTGTGTTTTTCCTCTCTTTGTTTTAGGATTAATTTTATTTTTCTGTCTGTTTGCTTGTAGTTATTACCTGTTACCAGAACTTAGTGGTGCTGGTGTAAGATTATAAAATCTTACTTCAGAATTAAGTGCTTATTCAAACCAAGTGATTAATCATAATGCAGCATAATTCTCATCAAGACCCATTCTGTGGTTCCCAAGACAAAACTGTAAGGAGACCAATGGCTCCAAAGGTGTAGTTATAAAAATTAATTAAACTGTCAGAGGGTTTCTGAAGCCTTTATGAGCCTGTGTTTATTTCTGGGCTCCTGTGTAAAAATAACTCCTCATTCACTCATTGTAGAATAAAGATACTGCCTGACGGTAACTGTACTCAAAGGCAACATTGATCTGTACTGTACACATGTGAGCCAGAAGAACATCTGAAATCTTATGGCATACAGTATTCTGCAGTCAGACTTGCATAATCTTTAGTAGATGCGAATAAATTGCTTTTTTTGCACAATTAAAACATCTAAGAGGACAAAACTATTAGAAGTTCAACAATTATAGCACATAATTATATTCTCCTTTATACTTGTTTTTTTCCCTCCTGTGTCACCATACGAGCTGTATGCCTTCTGTTAAATCTCAAATGAAGGGATAATGATGCACTACTTTGCATGTTTTTTTTCTCAACCTTTTTTATATTGATTTATGCTATAGATTTGTTAATTATTTCAGCTTTATTTAAAGCAAAAAACCTGAAAGAATTTGTAGATGTTTTGAAACCAAAAGAAAAAAACAACTGAAATATGTATGTCTATGTATGTTTGAAAAATCTGTGTATATAAATCATTGTATGATTGATGTGTTACGCGTTTAATTTCTAGACATATACAAGCACTGATGATATATTGTCCAGTACCATATATGAACCTAATGATGATATATTGTCCAGTACCATATATGAACCTTCATCTAGGGGAAATATCTATCTGTCTGTCTATATCTATCTATCTATCTATATATATATATATATATATAAAAAAAATGTGTGCGCATACATACTGACTGAAGAAGGCCTACTACTATATATACACACATACATATATATCTGGAGATATGGGAGAGAGGCACAGACATTGACAATTGAGACAGTAGTGTTTTTCTAATACTATATATTTGTTTCATGCAAATCATAGATAAAAATCATCCTTGAGCAAGAAAACTGCCCAGATGTGCTAAAAGACAATTGACAGTTGCAGTTAAAATTCTGAAAGATGTGTAAATTCAGTTCTCAACAGCTGTCCCGTCTGTGTTTGAGATATGGAGAACGCTTTATTTGACTAAATTAACATCTGTAACTGTAATAACTGTTGGTAGTATAGATGTTTTTCTTTTGAACTAGTCTTGATATATTGAGCTTTACATAGTCTATACCTGAGAGTTTCTGTATGATCAGGTAGTTCAGTACCACACAATGAAGCTGTAAAGAACACTATTGTATAACGTGCATGTATTTTAAGAAAATACTGACCAACAATGTATGACATTGCAAAAGGAAAATCTGAAAAAGTAGCTTTGAAAGGAGTCAGATCATGTTTCATTATAAATGATAATGAGCTAAATGATTTACACAAATATACACAGAAACAAAAACACAAAGACAAATACATGGCTAATTTTGGTCCCATTTTCCAACATGGCTAGTTAGAAGTTTCTGTAAGAGTCTGTAGCATCCTTTGGCCATCAGGTGGCAGTAATGTCTAGCAGGAGATGAGCAGTGAGTTGGTGAGAGACTGGTGACTCTGTGCTCTCTCTATCTTCTGGCCATTAGAGAGGATCTCACATGCAGCCAGTTCATGACAAAGAGCATTGAGCACCTCCAAGATATGTGCTTTCCCTGCAGATCAGTTAGAGAGGTGTTAAGCATTAGACGCATGTAAGGGTTAATCCACTATACACTCAATCTTTTAATTACATCTTTATACTGTACACTGGGGTTCAAAAGTCTGAGATCGCTAATGAAAATGCTTTTCTAACTAAGCACCATTTTTTATGATAAATTATCAGCAAAAAATGAGTTGAAAGTTCACGTTAAAAAATAATTTTTTATTTTGATTTGTCTGCTTTTTTAACGGCACCAGCACAGTTCAGTGTTATCTTAGTATCGCTGAGATACTAATATAGTTTTTACAAATATTTAACATTTTCATATTGCATTTTCATTTTAAATTTCAAGTTTTAGTAATTTTGTTGTGTGCTTTTGTCATTTTATTAGTTATTTGTTTTAAATATCTGTATATCTATATTTTTATTTTTACTGACCTTTATTTTATTTTGAATTATTTTAGCGCATCAAGTTAAACTGAAATAATTTTTTAAAATTTTACTTCAAGTAATGAGTATACATACAGGTATTTATGTTGTATATACAGGTGCATCTCAATAAATTAGAATGTCGTGGAAAAGTTCATTTATTTCAGTAATTTTATACGAATATAAATATATAAACGTAAATACATGTAAATATTTTCAAAATATGCGCTGTATGTGTGTGTCTTTATATATACATAATAAATATTCACAGCACACACACATATATTATGTAAACAAAAACTTTTATTTTGGATGCGATTAATCGCGATGAATCATTTGACAGCACTAATATATATATATATATATATATATATATATATATATTCTCCCTGATGTTCTCCAGCATGATTTGAGAAAGATCCAGAGCATTTTGTGTTTCATTGGAAGCACAAACATCAAGAATAATCAATGACACAACCTCAAGTTTGAATAGTGAGCTATGAATAGCACAAAATTTTACATATTTTACGTATCTTTTGTTTTACTTTTTTTTTTCAAAATCACAAAACTTATTTCCATCTTAAAATAAAAATAATATAATTATAATAATAATAATAAAAAATCTCAGCTTTTAAAGTAGTCTCAGACTGTATATCTAATGCTCCTGCCACATTTTCACGGCATACCAGGCATGTTAAACAACAAAGGTTTTATAAGAGCAAAGCTGCCAAGTTATTGTGTCTCTTACCATGCTGAGGATCACTGCAGGACTCCAATGTGCTGAGCAAAATCTTTCCTAAAGATCTTCTTGAGACATTCTACAAAAAATGTACCACCATAATAAATGTTAATAAATGGTAATGAAATGGCATTAAATAAATTGCATAAACTATATATGTGACCCTGGACCACAAAACCAGTCATAAGTAGAACACGTATATTTGTAGCAATAGCCAACAATACATTATATGGGTCAAAATTATAGATTTTTCTTTTATGCCAGAAATAATTAGGATATTAAGTAAAGATCATGTTCCATGAAGATATTTTGTAAATTTCCTAGTGTAAATATATCAAAACTTAATTTTTGATAAGTAATATGCATTGCTAAGATCTTCATTTGGATAAATTTAAAGGCAATTTTCTCAATATTTCGATTTTTTTTGCACCCTCAGATTCCGGCCAAATATTATCCTATCCTAACAAACCATTCATCAATGGAAAGCTTATTTATTCAGCTTTCAAGTGATTTATGACGCTTATGACTGGTTTTGGGGTCCAGGGTCACACATACATGAATGAATACATTTCTAAAATGAAAATAATTAAAAAAATAATAAAATGGCAAAATGCTTAGTTAACCCTAAATTAATGTGTCAAAATTAATAATGAAAATGCGATCAACCAGCCTGACATGACATACTGAAGATATTAATTGCACAAAATACTGTACTTGTACAGAAACAACAATTAACAAGGAGGATAATCATATGGACATGTTGCTAAATGACTTCCATAATGAAGTTTATATTATTTTAGAATCATCAGCAAATCCAATTAGTTAGATAAACACTCATCTACTGTACTGTGTGGCTTAGAAACATTTACAACAGCATCACTGGGCTGACAAGTCTCTACAGACTGACCAGCTCTCGCAGCTGCTGCAGAAGCTGTAGCACATCCATCAGTTTCTCCTCCACCAGAGACAAACGCACCCGCTCCGTCTCCAACATCTGCAGCTCCAGGTGGAGCAGCTCTGTCTCCTCGGCCTTCTGTTGTAGCTCCTGGACCAGGGCGTCCCTTATCTGCAGACACATGACACTTACCGTTGACCTTGCAAGCAGATTTAAACACTATGGCTCCAACAGGCAATGAATTTCAGGTTAGGAGAATCTTTGCCAGATGTGCCGATAGCCCATAATTCAGTTGAGACGCATAATTTCTCAGACAGAAATAGTTCAGATATGCTTGTTTTTGGCTTGTCTGACCATATGTCAAAAATCCACATCCACATCCAAGTCTCGGCCCAAACTGGTTATGCCCAGATCGTTTGAGGATGGTTTTTTCCACGAATGTGTGTGGGGCCTTTTTAAAAACACTAGCAACATAGTTCACGTCTGGTGCTTCACAGCTGAGCTGTGTCTAACAGCTCAATGTAGATGTAATTGTGTAAGGCCTGGAGGTTTATTCCTGCGGTCATCTGATTGGCTGTTCACACAGACACACACGCAGCTGGAGAGTGAGAGCTGTGGCTTTTCTTTGAAGCCTGTCTTCTCATAACAACCAAGTGCCTTGTAATCTAATTTTACACCCCTGCACCCGAAAGCAACCATGAACGTAAAAGTAAAACAGAACTGAACTGAAAGCCATGGTTGGGTGACGTAAGCTGTTGAAAAGAGGAGCAGCAGCAGCAGCCAAAGTTTATTTGGATGAACTTCTGCCCTCGCGTATGAAAATGACTCATTAGTATTTGAAATGTTTGATACGGATTTTAACTGCTGGGTTACTATGTGTGCTTGTGTTTGTTTTTCTTTAGAGTTTAATATGATTATGTTCTTCAGCTTTTCATGTCCTCCAGCTCAGAAATTATTTGTTTCTATGGCAATGCACATAATAGCAAAACAAATTCAAATATTTACTTTTCACATCTATTCACCTCTTCTTTTACAAAATCGCATCAGGTATTTCTGGCTATGCAAGGTAGCTGAATAAGCACCTTCATTCATAAGCCACTATTGTTTTCGTTTTTACATCACATAAGCGATCACATAAGACAGCGATCACATAAGATAAATGAACATTTCTGAGTATTCATCTCAACAAGGATGTGAACTAGTTCAGACATAAACAAACCTCAGAGAATGTTTCATTTTAACCCTTGAAGCATTTTATAAAACTATTAAAGTGATTAAAAGGCATAGTTCATCCACGAAATGACTGACTTTCTTTTGTGAAACAATCGCATCAGGTATTTCTGGCTATGCAAGGTAGCTGAATAAGCACCTTCATTCATAAGCCACTATTGTTTTCGTTTTTACATCACAGCGATCACATAAGATAAATGAACATTTCTGAGTATTCATCTCAACAAGGATGTGAACTAGTTCAGACATAAACAAACCTCAGAGAATGTTTCATTTTAACCCTTGAAGCATTTTATAAAACTATTAAAGTGATTAAAAGGCATAGTTCATCCACGAAATGACTGACTTTCTTTTGTGAAACAATATATGTATATACATAAGGGTGTAACGGTACACGTATTCGTACGGAAAATTTTCGCGTCTTTTGTTTCGGTACGCATTGTTTTAACCACTGCACGAGTGGAAGTTAATTGGGAACTCCCAGTCTTATATATTAATTTTGATAAGAAACAAAGTCTTATCTTTCAAATTTTGTCCATTTTTTTTAGGAAATTCAAACAATAAATACCGTTTTGGCACTCTTTGATGTGGCGAGACAGATCGCTGTATAAACGCTGCACTGAGTGAGCGTGATCTCTTTACTACTAGTTTTAATGCGAAATAAACATGAATGAACATCTCATGCCTCATGTAATTGCTCAATCAGTGTTTCAACCACGAAAATACGTCAAAACAAAATGTCACATAGCAGTTAATTTACCTCAGGCAAGTCATCAGTGTCCACAGCTTGTTAGATCACTAGAGAAATTAAGTCTAGAGAAGAGCATTTTCGCAAAATATTAGACCACTACTCATTATATTTTACTTGACCTGTTAGTGAGGCTTAATTATTTAAAGTATGTTTAATAAAAAAAATCTGTTATGAAACAAGTTATGACAGCCACTGTGTAATTTATAAGTTAATTTAAATCTGCATTATGTGCAATTTACATGTTTGCATATTTTTAAGTTGAGTGTTAATTGTTATATTTAAAAATAAATAGTAATACAATTTAAGTTTGGGCTCTGTTGTTAATTGTAACCTAATAGCAATGTCAAAGGGCTCCTTCTAGTTTAGAGCATAAGATGATGTAGGTTTTTATTAGGGATGCATACTGAGCTCCTGTACTCGTACTCATACTCGTTAAAATGCCCCGATACCAAACGCCGATACCACACAGCATGTGATAAGCGCCTTATTCAAACAAAGAAACACAGACAACAGAACAACAGACAGCAGAAAGGAGTTAAGGATGTCTACTACGAAGTATAT